TGAACGTGTAAATTGACGTTTCGACGGGAGGGTTTTCGACTCTTTTTTTCTCTTTTTTTTTGAGAGAGAGAAAGTTGAATTGCTGTCAAGCCAATAGGGTTGCATTATATTAAAGGAATTGAAATTAAAACATTTCTTTTGTATGTAATACAAAAAATATTTCATGAAAATCATTCAACTCTGTAAATGATCCACGATTATAAATGTATAAGATTATATCAATTTGACCACTTGATAGTCTCGGTGTTAAAATAAAGATATTGAAGAGGACTGCACTAAATTAGTTTTTTTAAAGTCCTTTCGTCTTTTACCATTTTTACCTTATTTCTTGTACTTCTTTATTTATACTGGCAATAAATAAATTACAAAAAAAATTAAGTAATTTCATCTCCATCAATGCACACTGAGGGATTTTTAAAATATTATATTTAAATTTATATATTTAACTAAAACCCTATCGTCGAACAACCATCTTTCATCTCCATCATCAATTGGCCAATTTTAAAAAGAAAAGAAACATTATATTTAAATCTAAAATTCTATCGTCGAACAACCCTCCAAAAATTACACCTTCGAAACGAGCGTTTATAAAAACGTCTATCACGATATATTGTTAATCTCCAGAAGTACCATCGTCGAAATCTCCATCATTAAATGTCAGATTTCGGTCCTCGTCAAGAGAAGCATAACAGAGGATAGTCATCGCGGGGCTATCTACGGATGTATTTCCGGCCAGGCGTAAAAGATTGAAACGTTGGTCTTTTTCAGCGCGCCAGAACGTCCTGACGAAAATTAGATTTTCGCGGGCCATCCGCGCGGCTAGCAGAGTGACTAACGTCTAGTAGACACCTTAATCAAGATACCATCCGGTCGGTGCCGCGGTTCTCCTGTTCGAGAACTCCATTAACATATTTCACTCTTTAATTCACTGGCCACGGTGGCACGCCGCGCGTTTCACGGGGCATTAGCAGCGAGACGAGCTACCGCTTCGTTCGAGATATTGCATCACTTCGACCAATCGTACTGAACTGCTGATTTATTTGCGAAAATTCACGATTCGCGTTCGCCAGTAGAATCGTGGAAACTGATCAATGTGTTAGCTTTAACAGAATTCGTTCGACAAATAAAAAGAATTGATGACGCCGCGTGCACAAGTGGAATATTTGAAACTAAAAGATTTTTGATCATATCAAGTTATAGTTACTACGTATTTTCTCCGAGAAGCTGTGAATCTGAGATTTATTTAATAAATCGATTACACGACTTCCAAGGTTTGAAATTTTTGAACTGGAAGCTAAATTAGTAATATATATTTAAGTATATGATATTAATAAAATATGTCAAATCAACTGAAATCTGTAAAAAAATTTTCAAAATTCTCAATTCAAGCTAGATTTTAACATCTCTCATCCATCACATGATGCTATTATGAAATTCGTAACAAAATTAGAAAATTCTATCATCCTGAATTGCGATCGATCATAGTAATCAAGATACATACGGTCGGTTGGTAACGGTATAAATAATATTTCATAAGAACGGTAAATTGTAATTTATCGCTGGGGATAAATGGAATTTTTTTTTATTGTCCATGTGATCCGCAAATAGTTAATTATTATTTATCGTGGACTGATTAGATTTATGGGACCTCGCCTACATGCAAATTTGTAATAAAGCTTTTTTTCGTTCACGGCCGATTCGATTTCCTCGAGCAAAGTGTAACAAGTAGATGATCTTGTTGCTGGTAACTCGTTTAACTTCCCGAGAAGCTGTATAATTTCAAAGTGATCTTTAGTCTTCGTAAAAAGAATATATAGTGGTAGAAGTGTGATGAGTAATTAATTTGAAGAAAATACAGATCTGAAACGGTGAAGGAATGAAGAGATATATATAACAATATATCATGAATTTTGTAAAAGTGAAACGTCTTAAATTGACTAAAATCGGAGTATCATAATTATTTGCCCAATAAATATTCTTTTACGAATAAGTATAATGAAAGTATATCCTTGGTAAGAAGTTTTCGATGAATCGCAACATTTTGAAACATTCGTGATATAAAATACTAGAGAAAATAAAATTAGCAATTTTAGTCCAATCCGCGAACGTAGAAATATTTCAATGTGGTTTTTGAATACTTTCAAATATTTGTGCCTGATCGAGAACAGGTGTAATATACAAACAATATTTCATTTGCATCTCTAAAATTCGAAAACTATTAATCAAATTTTCAAAGAAGAGAATTTGATTATGAAGAATATCGTTTACAAAAATTCTAAATTACTAAAGATTCGCCGTTGTCAAATTGATAAATCCCACGTCGGCACAAAATTCTTAGATAGAGAATAGAGTCAAGAAAAACCTAATTTTTTCTTTTAACTGAAAATCACAGTTAACATCGAATGGTCCGAGAGAAATATTTTCACTGTTGGCGAATTAGCACGGCGAACACACGGAAGCGGCGGTAGCGGCATTAAAGCGAGGAGAAAAATAAATCGCGAAAGGTTTCCTTGACGTGGTTTGCAATTCAATTAGCATCGAGCATTTTGCTTGAGACCGAAATGGCCGATAAAGACCAGGCTGGCTACGTCTGTGGCATTCGACAAATCTCGCGCCGTTCAAAGCGGCCCGCGTGCCCTGTTAAGCTTTGATTTGCAAACCGAAATTTAACGCATCTGAAATGAAAGTGGCAAAACCACTTGCGTGATATTCATCGCGCTATTAATGTCAGCCCTCTAAGCCGAGTAGCTTTAGAGAATGGCTCGTGACAGTGACACACAAAGTGAATGGGATGTATTTAAAATATCCTTTTGATACGTATCGAATACTCATAGTAAATCAAACGTGTTTCATATGTATCGATACAGTTAAATTTAATTTCTTTAATTTTTTGAGACGTCGCTTAAAAACTATAAAATGAGTTGAGCGTAAAACACTCATAGTTTATGAAGTTTTTATTATTAATTAAAGTAGGTTTAATTGATATTCAGTTTTTTTCATTGTGATTTGATTCATTTCCTTTCTTTTTGTAACCCAAGTACAAAAGAAACGAAGTTTTACGAAATGTTACTCAATTCCTTTTCTACAAAAGACTCCGGCTCCACGAAAGTACATACTCGCGTAAATATCGCGCAGTATTCTCAGTATCCACTGATGTAGTATATTCCGCGTAGTACACCAAACGAAACACGCTATTGCCAACGTCGTATTTCCTCCGCGCTTCGTCAGTGACACTTGCGCTTAATTCCACGATGGCAGGGATATTAAGCCGAGCAAAGGGAGGAAAGAGAGCAGAGAGAAGGCGGCGTTCACTTCGTGACTCGTCGCCAACCGCTAATTGAGGGGAAATTACGAGCCGGCTTATTATGAAGAAACTATTCGGCGCGCTTCGACGCGATCCATTTCGCGCGCTCCGTCAAGAGGTGAAAATTATTCAGGCCGCAGGATATTCGTCGTGCTTATCGTCTCGGTGTCGTGCGCCGTGAGGCACCGAGACGACTCAAGTTGGACAACCCAAGGCGGCAAATTGATGGTATCTTGGAATTGTCCGCGGCCCAACCCCGTTTCTTGATGAGCGGATAATCTCGTCCGCGGCTGTTGACCCTTATCTTTAATGAAAACCGTGCCTCGCGTCGTCCAAACGTTTGATCCGCTTCTCGATTGTCAGATACTTGGCCATCCGCTTATTACCAATTCACGTGAGCACCCATTCATTGTGTTTAATACCGTTGTCCTTTCTTCTTCCAATATCACGCCTCTTGCGTGACACGTGAAATTTTGTGAGATAGTTAAGACTCTGTTGAGTTCATTATAGTGATTATTACTGTAATATAATGTAAATAGATCTTTATTGCATTCCTGAGCTGTTTAACCATCGATACCAAAATCGCATTCTACTTATTCGATTAATTTTAACGCGAACAACGCTGCTATTTACTTTAATTTTTTTTTTATTATTATTATATTGACGTTGGTCTTTTTTTTTTAAATTCGACTCGTGATTTCGTTCTGATTTAGAAAAATATAAAAATTGCCCTAAGAATGAGAAAATAGTTGTTACTTGTAAATTAGGATCAGCTACAACTTGTAATGATATACGTAATATTGAAGGTTGACCATTAACAAGGAGAAAGAGAGATTTATTTAACGAAGAAATTACACAAGTCTGTTCAGGACCGAGAAACTTGAACATGGATGGATTTAGATTTGGGTGATTAAAGTGAAAGAAAACAACTTGCTCTTGGAGATGAGAAACTAGACGATCCCAATGTTGCCGAGACTACTTCAAAACGACCTACTCCAGGACTGTAGAACCTAAATTTGAACGACTACAGGGTGGTGAACCTAATGGACGACCCACGGATCGAAAGTTCAACTTGGCACAGTCTAGAATTTCTAGTTACAGCAATAATGCAAACCACGTATTTTCAGTAACTATATTATGAGAATACAAAATTGGCAAACGACCATCCATTATTCATCCCCTTTATTGCAACGAATAGAATAGTCTTATAGAAAATTATTCAGTATTTATCATTGTATTTTCAGTTGCTTTTTCGTTCGAAAAATGTCTCCGCAATAATTACACTATGCATTTTCATCCTTTTTTTATTGCAGTAAATCGGAGTTTAAAAAAGAAGAAAAACAATTAAAGAATAAAACTTACGCGATTATATTTATTTCAATTGCACAATGACTCTCTGACATTTTCAATAATCACTTCGCGAGTCGATGAGCAACGAAATGAATCACGAGTACACGCCAACTGGAAATAACAGATTCACGTTAAAAAAGTGCCTTGGCGAAGGAAATGAGATACAGAAATAATACAACGACACGATAAATAACAAAAATGGCAGAAAATCGCGAACGCCATTTGCATAGAGCGAGCCAGCGCGCAGATTTCACCGGCGCGAATTAATCGCGCCAGCATTAGTACGCGCGCATTAATTTCCAGACGATCTCGTGGGTCCCGCGGCTCGTCTCGTCCCGTCCCGCGATTATTTGTACACGTCCAATCGTCCACGTGATCTGCATTTTTGAAATGGTCGTTTTGGCCTGGCCGGCAGGCTGGTCGGTTGCCAAGTAGCCGCTATTGGGACGGGTTCAACAGCCACCGCGCCGCCTGGACCCGCCTGATTTGCCCTCATTTACGACGAGGTACAAAAATTCCTGTAAATTGGCCGTAATTTAGCGCACAATGGAACGAGTTGCGCCGGTGGTTGAACGCTCTCGGCCCCTTCCACTCTGTCGGTTGGAACTCGCGTTGCGTCCACACGAGAATTTCGGGGCCCCGCGTCACTCTGCTACGCGAGTGCGGATCGCGAAACGGTTCGCAAACTCCTTTCATGTCGTCGAGATTCCACTGCTGACGACGGTAATCCCGTTTTCTGCCCGTCGATTTTTATCGCGATATAAATTATGGATTACCGAAGGAATAACTGGCCGAAGATCGAAGCGAAGAATGTATTCGACGCGTACGAATAAAATGATATATTTATCAGATGAGGGGAGAAGGCTGTGTAAGAGAAGTGGCTGTAAAAAAGTATATATTTCTATTCTTCTATTTTTTGCACGAATTTTTATACGATACGAAATTTAACATGCTTGAACGTAATTCATTGATACGTATGTAAATTCTGTGACGGTGTGCAACTATTATTTGTAGCTATTGTATATTTATATAATCATATATATCATAATATGTGTATATTAAATGGTGTTTAAAGACGAACGTTATGAAACAGATGTAAATGTTACGATCAAATAACTGTGATAAATTAATGTAATCAGAGAAGATTCAGAAATCATCACATTTAAATAATATTTACAACTTTGTTACCCCCAAAGTTGAATAATTCATAATTTAAAACACAAAGAGATTAAGATTTAATATCGATTTTAAATATCTTTGCGTGAAAGTGTTATTAATATCAGTACTTTAAATGCATAAATCATACAGAGAACATCATCCACCCTCTGTGTGTAAAGCAGAAAGGCGAAATAAAAGTGTAATTTCCTGGAGGCAGGTAAAGGGCGGTGCAAGACGCAACATTAATTAATAGCGACAGAACGTTACCGACTTTACGAACGAACGTTCAAGGATCTGTGAATATATGGTGGTTGGCGATGATCGAGTGGCAATTCACGGTTCGCGTGTGAATGGAAAAACAAATGGTCGTTGTCACGGTGGAAGCGTCACGATTACTATTAATTAAGAAATTAGTGAGCGATGCGGGAAACGGGCCGGCAACACGAAAAGATATTCCCGACAGACAACTCGTCGGCGAATTAAGCGCGTACATTTATCCGTGTCGTTCCTCCACTTCCGTTACATTTTCATTAAACACTTTGCAATTTTAATTTTTTGTTTTTTTTTCGTATATGAAAATTAAATATAGGGAAGAGTGTAACTTGAACTGTACATAATTAATCGCACAAATTCTAGTTGGATAAAAATATCAAAGGCCAAATAGCTTCTCAATTTCTCTGCGTGATCGTAATCTATCTTTGAGACACCAGAGAAATAATTCTTCGTTATTTCATTTTACAATTCCTTTCTTGTATTTAACTCGATTTATTTGTTCTCATAAATCGATCTCTCCGTCATCTCACTTATTGCAAAGTGACAAGCGATTCTAATTGCGTTTCACTAATTTTGTGAAATATTGAACATTACCCTCCGAATATTGAAACACTAAATGGCGTCAAAGTTGCTTTCTCTTTAATTTACGGAACGATTCCACCGAACGACCAATTGTTCCCTTGCAAAAATTCTCGCAAAGTGAGATCGCCGCAATTTGCGACGCAACGCGAGTACAACAACAGAAGGACTCCGGTTCGAAATTCAGCGGGCGATCAGGAGAAACTCTCCGTGACCGCGCAAACGATTCGCGCCGTTCAACGTGGAACGTGGAGCGTGGCGATTTAATTGCAAAACGATCGCGAAGGGCGGCGGGTCATCCCCGTATTTCGGTAGCGACAAATTGAAAACACGTGTAAACGGATAGTGTGTGCAAACAAGGGACACGTGTTACGCGCCGGGTGTCGGCGGAACGGCCGGCGGTGACAGCCGCGAAAGTTTTGTTAATCGGCGCAGGCGAAATAACCCGCCGACGCGGCGTCGAGATAATAAGCGGCCGCGGGGGCTGAAGGACGATGAAGAAGACGAGCCATCCAGTTGGACGCTGGAACCAGTGGAAAGAGGGGGCAGTAACCAGCTAATTGGACCTGAGCTAATTTCGTTCTTCGAAGTAACGAGTAGCCGGTCGTGGCTAGAGAGCTAAGCGCGACACTTTTAGCGCGACTTCCAGCCAGCCTGGCGTGATAACTCGTCGCGAATCGTAACTGCTGGGCGTTGTTGCTCGATCGTTGCACTTCGGGTTCGGGCCCGGTGTGTCTTACGATTGATGCGAGGTGATTGATGAATGGAAAGATTTAGGAGATGAAGATGGATTCGGCGTTGGTTCGAGAACGACGGGAAGAAGTGATGATCTCGGAGAAATTGAGTTAATTGAACGTGGGAGCTTGATGGTTAGCGTACGACGTATGACGTTCAGTAGAGGGACGATTGTCTACTGAGGCATTCTGAACGTTCAAATTTATCCGACGGAGGGATCGAAGATAACTTAGCGAAATAGCAGTATTAGATTCTATTTTCAATCAGTTGCATTCGAACGAACGGAGGTCAACAAGCTTGATTAACAAAAAATTTGAAAGAACATTTCTAGAAGTGGGAGTTGGATTATTTGAGTCGAGCAACTCGTTTTAATTAAACGAGATAAGTTTGCTTGAATTGAAAGATCACTGTGGACTCGTTTCATTTGACTAAATTTCACTGTCAACAAATAATCTCATAATTCTACGATTCCTTTGATAGTCTACCTATCTACCTAATGGTATTCTATATCCAGTTTCACTCATAAATCATTCGTTCTACAGCGTAGACTTTCTTCTCATCTCGTAACATGATCGGCAAGAAAAATTTTATCGATAACACAAATTCAAGCTTATAATCCAATAAACGATCTGGCAAAACGGAATGGCTGCCAGCGTTATTTCCTTTTTTCTTTTTCTTCGTTTCTTCTCGCGTTCGCTGCATTCTAATAATCTAAGGCAACATAATCTTCCTTGGTATGTTGGCGAATGTTGCACAGATAGAAAAATACGAAAACTGTTAATGATTATACCGGCAACACCTGTAATACCGCATTCGTTACTTCAAGCCAGCTTGGGATAATTTTCGATATCAGCGTGGCATCGCGTGATTCACGCTCGTATACCATCTACGGACTCATCTACGTGTCACAGACTGCAGTAAACCAACAGAGCGACCGATTCGTGCGACCTTGAAGCTAGGGAGTGCAACGCGGAAGTCTTCATGATCCAAAGGACGATGAGTCAGCCTGACTGACTCCTCGCGATCGCTGATGATCGATCGGAACGAAAGTTGTCCGCGAGTATTAAACTTGGGAATAATCGCGTGATTGTAAACGTCGAAACTCATCGGTGGATAAATTTTCGTTTGGTTAGACGAACAGTAGAACATGGATGTATAGAATTGAGAGGAAATTGTGGCGGTACGACGATTAACTCTGAGTGAAACGCATCTGCGAATTCAGAGGAAGTTGCTGAAGTTTTGGAGCGAGGTTTGGAACAGACTCTCGACGCATGTAGAATAATATTATGGTATTTGAAGTTAACGTGTGATCGACTAAATAAATGGAGAAATAAAGATACTTAATTAAAGGTAAATTTATGAAGAGTATGGTGCACATTACTATGTGAATGATTAATGTAATTAAAATATAATTACGAATCAACGTGAGTAATTACGAAGCATTCTCTCCCTGTTATTTTTAAATTATTTGATAAACCACGAACATTTGTTTTTGATTTTCTACTATTATTTACAATGTCACGATTACCTTCTAGTCAAAGTAATATTTTACTTCATAAACCTGAATGTAGTACACGTAATAAGGGCTATTAATAACGTAATAAGGATCGAATAAAAAAATAATTTCATCAAATATATTTTCCACGGTCGATATTTCAAATTTCAATACTCTCTCCACATTCACCTTCGCAGTTCAAAATTGCCGTGATAAATTCGTGACAATTCGTCCCTCGATGCACGAACCATACCAAACAACCAACCACGACATTCATCGATCTACATTAACTCGTCAAAGTCGGAAAGTTCCGTCAAGATTCGTCGGAACCAAGACAACACCAAGCCGCGGCGCCAAGAGTCATCCCTTTCTTTTTTTTCGAGCGTCGTAACTGATCCGTGATCTTTGCCATTTCGACGTCTCTTCGCGAGGGCCTCCTTCTCCGTCTCTTCGCTCTGCTCCTCCTGTTCCTCCTTTTTGTCGCAATGTCACAGCGACATGCATTCGTCGCATATAATTGTACGCGGCGCGCATTGTCTCGTTCCACCATAGCCACTGCGGTGTCCTTCTTCCCTCGTCTCGCGCATTCGCCTCGGATTCTACCGACCGGCTGCGAACTCGTTTCGGAGAATGGCCGCCGAAGCTCACAAGTATTTTCGGCCGCTCTATTTATACCAGGCAGACTGTCAGCGCTCCGGCTCGTAAGGTACCACTGGCTTCAGGTCAGAGGACACACCCCGGCGTACGTGAAAAAAAGAAGGGGCGAGAAAAAGGAAGAGAGAGAGAGAGAGAGAGAACGACAGCGTGCCGCGGCGTCTTCGTTAGCCGCTGCTGTCGGCTCGTATAAACATTCGACCGGCGAACTTGATGAACTACTTGCACGAGCGGAATTAATTGACCGGGCCCGGCTCTACCTCCTGGGCGCCACCGTGGAACGCGCCGCACTTTTGTTCCTTTGATTGCCTCGCCGTTCAGTCCAGCGCTGAACGATTCCTCTTCTTTTACGACCGCTCGTCCAAATGAACTTTCGCAAGGAATTTTTCCACGCGGTTGATTCGGAAATAGGCGGTGTTTTTTTTTTTTTTTTGAGGGAGGAGGGAGGGGATGTGAGTTGACATGTCTGAGCCTCTACCAGAAAGCTAAAGTGATTAATTCTACTTTCGCGTGAGACGGAGAGACTCGTGTGGAAAATGCTTGTTTATCGTAGAAAAATAATCACAAGTTTCGTAAAATATTCTCTGCAACATTGTGTATGTGTGTGTGTGTGTGTGTGTGTGTGCGTGCGCCTGTTCAATTTTACATTCCAAGAAAACCAGACTCTACATCGGAATAGTCACTATCACTTAAAAAAGCATTTGAAAGCTACTGAAAGGAAATATGCGATATATGCAGGATTGAAGCAACAGCATTTCAGTAACAGGAAATGAACTGAGTTCAAGTTTAGATAGATTATTTTTTAATGAGTTATTTCTGGCGGAGAAGGTTCTCATAGCAACCATAATCTAATCTGAGTCACGATACCTCGCAAACATCCCGTAAGAATCAACGATAAACGAGACGTTCCATTTCCCACCTCCCCGCGACGTGTTAACAGGATTCTTGAAAATTTACGATTATGGCGGACAGCATCGATCTGGCTGTTTTTCACGGATCCTTGGTGGAGAGGCCGTGGAGCTACCGTCGGTTGGTTGGTACGCCTGCCGGCGGAGCGCTTATTACTCGTTTCAGCAAATGCGTCTCTAGGAATAGCCTTAATGGCACGGTACGTGTGTATGTACGCGCGTGAAGAATCTCGATACTTTATGGCACGGCAGTGATTATCGTTTGGCCGTCCCCGTCGCGGTCAAATCGCACCGTCGTCTCCTGAATCGCCTCTTATTTTCGTCATTAAGCTGTGACTAATATGTCATATTACCGTGGCAAAACTGGCCAACGGCCGATGGTGTTCAGCCGGTCCGTCGCCACCGACTCGGAAAAGAACTCTCGTTACACGGCCAATGACGAATTCGGGGTGCGAACATCTTCATGGTACATTGCCTCGCGCGACCGTTCTCCGCATCACCGAGCTAGAGAAACTCACCGACTGGCAGAACAGTCCTACCAATTTCATCGTCGTTCGCGTTTCTAGACGTCGCGCGAGTAGAATCACAGCTTCCAACTGATATGCTGATACATAATACATGGATATCTATGCCTTTGTACGATGAAACGTTATTTTACTAAATAAATGTTCTTGAAAGAGATAGGTACGCTTGATCTCCATATGTATTGCATTTACTTATATCTAAAAGATACATTTACATTCCTTGTTGACATGTAGGTATATTTTTTTTTATAAATGAATTTAATTTCCTCATACGTACTGCATTTATTTGTATCCAAAAGGAACTTCAACATTCACGTATTTTTTCATGAGCGAATTTTATGTTCAATTTCTTTTTAATCATTAAAGATTATTAATTCACTATTATTGAATAATTAATTATTTAAATTACTTTACTTTTGAAGATACGAGAAAATCGGAGAACCTATTAACATCTATGCTGGTGTATGAACAAAATTTTTTCGAAAATCAAAAGTTCAGATACTTTTTTAGAGATCAAAAGAAATTCAAGGATGAATAAACAGTGTTTTTGTTGGAAATTATACGTAAAATTGGAATTGTACTATAAAATATATCAAAGCATTCTAGGATGTATTTTCTCTTAACCTACGAAAACAAATCCTTTCAAGTGAAAGGAAACTTCCTCTAAAAACGAAGGCCCTGAAATAACAAGACCAAGCACCGATTATCATTTATACTTCTCGTCAATTGCTCGAGCAGCATTTAACTCGATCGCGAGTCAACGCTCTATTTTTCATTGCGAGTTTAACGAGTGGTCGAGCGAGTAAAGGATTTTAGAATTAATCTAAACAAACCGAGAAAATAGAGACCGATCGAGACAACGATTCGTGATTGAATCCGCAAGAACAACCTCATTTTCCAACCCAAGTGAAATAACAAAATGATCGCGAGGATCGTGGCGCGAACGAGTTCTCGTTCTTCGACGATTCGACGAAGTCGAAGAAAGACAGGACGAAAGAACTGAAGTAACGAAGTAACAAAAACATTTCCAATGCGGGACGACTTCACGTCCTGGAAGTTTTGCTTGGTATAACGGGGATCTTCATCATACGCAAGAATGTAAACAGAAAGCCCAGGCAAACGAAGACTAATCAGCCAGACTTCCGCCATTTCGCTACATTTTTCTTGCAGTTCGCTGCGCCGGTACCGTTGAGAACTATGATTCGATAGTAATTGAATTAATTGCCAACGACTTTCTTTAAGCAGAATATCTTGAAATTAATCGTCCAACTCGTTGATTCTCTTGATGCTGTCACAGACGTAATTTACTTCAAGAGATTCTTCATGGTTCGACGACTGACGAAGCTTCTTTCAGTAACAATTTATTGTTGGCGATAATATGGTATCTTTGTCTCTGTTTGTTTCTTTGATTCTAGTTTGTTGACACTATTTGAATAGTCCATGTAATAGGATTTCACTGATCTCTCCTATTAATCACTTTTTAATTTTATAATCTTAACAGGAATACGTGTTTTCATTGGTAGAAGCTGATTGAACGAGTTTCATTGCGATAAATGTAGAAATCTAGTTATAAATGACTAGAATATCACTAAGAAACATTGTTTGAGAAAAATATATAGAAATTTCATTAGAAAACTATCAATGTATTATCGAAGCTATTCGAAGCAAGACGCGATAAATTTCAAGAGTAATTTAACGAAACAGATAGAAATATAATTTACACGATTCTGTGATAGAGGATATTAAATTCGACAATTCCCGGATCATCAATATTAAATCACACGTGTCAACAATCGTCGAAGTAGAATTTCCGATTGATCGATATCGAATTTCGTGTTTCAGAGATCACCAAATGTACCGTGTTCGGTTATTACGAAATCATTGACATCGAGTTTCACGACTCTACGGCCACTGGGTTTCAAATTTCACTACCCTGGATGATTGATATGGAATTCCATAGTTCAACGAGACGTTTCGCATGTACTCTCTATCTAAACTGTAAGAATCGTTATTGAATTGCGTACAGTACAAACTCAAGTGCCGTGTTTATCAATCGTCGGCGTTGCGAATTTGTTCATTTCACCACGGGGTAGGGGATAAGACAAAAATTCGAATGTAAACAAAAAAGGTTAAGTTCCCTGGTCGGTCGAATTTCCCTTTTGAGAAGAAAGGCGTTGTTGTTAAAATTAGTAGAACAACTGGATCAAAGTAATTCCTCGCGGCTGTCGGTTGTTCACCTCGTGGCATTCGCGTTGTTCTTTCTCTCAGCGAAATTACACTCTACTCATACCAATCAGTCCGCGAGTCCCTGAGATGCTAATCACTCGACAGAGATCGGAGTTCGTAGAAACGTTTCGCGGGAGTGCCAACGACGTTCCGGCAAGTGTGCCAGCCTCAAGTGCTCAGGAACGAGCAGAATCGCGTTTGAAGGAAAACAATGGATCGTCTGCTTTGAATTCGTCGTCGAAATGTATGTTGGATCCTCGTAATTTCCCGATTAAAAATATGTACCTTCAAACGACATTCGACTTTTACAAAAATAAATGAGAAACGATCCTAGTATTTTGG